TACCTTGGGCAGAATACCACCATAATACTTCCTTCCACAGCTCCACCAGTTTCACTCCTGACCAAATCACCTTCACCAGGCCACCTCCGAATCTGCTGTCTTACACACTAGGATCTTCACCCAACGATGTGGTGGATGACATCCTTTCTACCAAGGCCTACGTCCTTGCAAAAGTCAAAGAAAATCTGCTCAGAGCGCAAATCCATATGAAAAACCAAGTCGATAAAAAGAGAACAAACAAGAGTTTTACCGTCGGCGAACATGTCCTCCTTCGCTTACAACCTTATCGGCAGATCTCGTTGCACCGCCGGTCGTCGCAGAAGTTGGCTCTGAGGTTCTATGGTCCTTATGAGATCGTGGAACGTATTGGACCAATGGCATACCGTTTAAAATTGCCACCTTTGGCTCGAATCCACCCGGTATTTCATGTATCCCTACTGCGTCCGTTCAGATATGACCGGAACTATCAAATACATGATCTTCTGGCTACGTCACAGGAGAACTATTTGGCTCATTCTCCGGCTGCCATAGTGGGAGAACGCGGGATCTGGCGCAAGGGGACAAAGGTACCTCAGGTTCTGGTTCAATGGAGTGGCTTACCCCCCGAGGATAGCACATAAGAGGATAAAGAGTTGATTTTTCCCTTAGGAGAGGAGGTGACCACACAAACGACTAGGGGATCTGGGGAAGACCATACCGCTTCCCCACCACCGTTTTCAATTCCGGTTGCCATGGCTACTACTCTTGGAGGTCATCAGAGGGATTCTGAGGAGAAGGACAGGGTTGGCAACGTTTCAATTTTGAAACCAGACCCCAATGTGCCAACTAAGAGGCTTCAACAGGCTGTTGTCATTAAGACACACCTACTTCCACGTGCGACACCACACGCGTCCTTCCTGAGCGTGAGTTACAGCTGCCATTACTTCCCTCTTCTCTGATTGGACCGCCTCTCACAGCTGCCTCTCTGATTGGACCGCTTACCCACTCAGCTCCTCTCACAGGTTCAATTCAAAACCTTATCCTTGTGGACAAGGATATTTTTGAAGGGTAAGGGGATGTAACAGGCCCAATTAATATGATAACCGCACATGAGACACGAGCCCGTAAGCAGCCCAAGTACTTGCAAGATTATGAAACCACTTAAAGGCTGTAGTATAATAAATGTCTTTTGTTATTCTTTTATTATTCAGTAAGCATGTAATCAGGGTCAGGCCCAAACCGTTAAGGCCATATAAAGTAATATTGCTAATGAAATAGGGTATGAAAAGATTTCACAACTTCTCTCTCTAATTTCTTCTTCTCTCTCTACCTCTAATCTTCTCTTCTGATTCCCTTCTCAATCTATTCTGGAAATTACTGCTACAATTGATATATGGTTCCTTATTGTAATGAAGCTGTTTGTTATTCTCAGCTACTTTTTGCTTTGGGAACTTGTTCGCTGAAAAGTAACCAGTTTGAGATTAACAGTGTGTTGTGATAGTTCTTTTACTTCTGTTTCACAAGCATCCTCTAAATTCATTACATGTATTTTTGTGCTAAAGCATTGAGCACGGGAAAGGTCATGAGTTTTTCTTCTATTGTCTTCATCTTTTTTATTGTTTTATCTCCTCACTGTATCTTGTGTTATCTTCTTCCTTAAAACCAAAAACCAGAAAGCTCAAAAATAAGTGTTACTATATCATCTTATAGCATTGTTCACTAGCGGTGAAACTGGTCGGGCCGGCTTACAGGGACCTACGGCTCGGCCTACGTCAGGCTAGACCGGACTTAATATATTTTGTAAAATAAGTCAGGCTTGAGCCTTGAAAAAGCTTGTTTAATAAATAAGTCGTAGGCCCACTTTTACAAGGTCCGACCTATAAGTATACAGGCGGGCATATATTGTACTTATTTTAAATAAAATAAATAGAATAAATATGTCTTGAAGAAAAAATAAAAGATATAAATTTAATCAATTGCAATTATTTATAACTCAATTATATTCGATTATATTTTAATAGAAATCTGACTTTATTTCTTATGTAGGAGGAACCAACATCTCAACATGTTAAATTATGTATATGAATATATTAAAAGGTTTTTGGGAGAGGTTTTACTTACTACAAGTATCATGATGTGTTTGCTAGATTCATGTAATTATTTTAATTTACATAGTATGAATTTATTTGTTGTATCTGATGAAATGTATGTTATTTAGTTTGAGTATTTTGCTTTTGAAAGTAACTTAAATGCAGATTGTGATGAGTTTCGTTGTGATTCATGATTCTGTTTAGACGTTGAAATTGTAATTTTTGGTTTAGCAACAAAATTTGAGTATTTTGTGAAGTTGATTCATGGTTCTGTTTGGAACTTAAAAATTAACAGGTTAGACCAGACCATTTGTTTTTTGTAAACGGGTCAAGCTAGACTAACAGTTAGACTCGTATTAAGTTTGAGCCAGGCTAAAATGAAATTTTTTGACATAAACTTGCGCTTTTCAGGGCAAAGCTTGGTCCAGTCCAGTCCAGTTTCATCCCTATTGTTCATATTACAACAATTATTGTTCTCAAATTCTCTTGAATTGTTCCTACGCATTTTATTATTACTATTCATTTTTTTGTTGGAATTATTACTATTCATTTATTAACTGTTAATTGTCAGTTTCAATTTTTTTATAACTATTTTTATAACTTTCTCTTGGAATGATATTTTGGATTCAACTGACACATGCACTTACGTAATAATTGTTTGTTTGTTGTAGTTTTATCTCCCTTTTTACTTTAGCATGGGAGCTAACAATATTGTTTAATATTGACTACATTATAATCAAAGTAAATTTTGAGAAATATCTATCAATATAACATAAAAGTGACATTCGTGCAAATTTATTGAACTCTAGAAATGATTTATGAAAGAGCATGTGTTCAAATCTCTCAAGTTTCACCTTTGGGAGGGGTTTAAAGCCTTAATCCTGAACTCGCTTCAAATCGGATTAGTTGCGAAGCAATGAACCGATTGAAATATTTCCAAAAAAGAAATGATTTATGAAAAATAAAAACTCTTAAAACTATTTTAAGGTGTTGTTATTAAATCCATGGGGTGGTGAGTGAGTTATATTGTCAAACATCTTGGGCAAACTAAAATTTTTAAATCAAACTTGTGAAAAATCTGAAATTATTAAACCATCGTTTAAATTTATGTAGGGTTCCACTTCTGAAAAAACAAACGAAGGGTTAAAAGGACAGAAAAGTAGCAGAGGGGACTGCGTCAAACCAATATTCTTTATCTTAAGAAACATTAAAGACAGCTCCAACAGCGTGACTGACCCAAAGGTTGATAATTGATAACGTATACACAATGATGCGCACGGACACGGACACGGGACACGAGACACGACACGACATGACACGTCGACACGTTAATTCTAAAAAATGTTAAGTTTCGACACGCTGGGACACGTTTTGATATTAAATAATATTTTTAATATATATAATATTAAAAATAACGACGACAACGACACTTCTAGGCATTAAAACGCGGGCAACAATAATCTTCAGAGAGTAATAGCCCAATGCTTACCAATAGTCACTATCAAACTTCAATACTTTAATAAATAAATAAAAAACGATGCAACATTTAAAAAATAATATTTTTTAGGTTTAAGAAACAACATTTAAAAAATACAGATCTAAGATTGGAACACACAGATCAAGCGGTTGAAGAACATGAAGGAGAAATTAACCGAACAATTTCAAGGAATGGAAAATCTGAGGAAATGGAAACGGAGCTTACCTTCTGGAAATCTTGTGGAGCGACGCCAGGGAGGTAGAAGCAGAGGCCGCCGTGGATGAAAAGCAGATGCGCTATTCCTCCACTCTCTCCTCTCCGATTCTGTGAACGACGACGCCACAGGCGGTGAGGACACCATCGACGCGCTTGACGTGGTGGGGGAACAACCTCCGGTTACGACGGACGTGGAAGAAGACGATGGTTTCTGGGTATTTATTAAATATTTTTTATTTTTTTAATTGTAATTTTATTTATTTTTTTAAAAAAAATGTCAAACGTGTCCCAAACGTGTCCACATACGTTGACCACGTGTCGGATTCGGTCAAATTCGCGTGTCCCACTAGTCAACGTGTCCTAAAAAGTTGACCGCGTGTCGGACGCGTGTCCGAACGTGTCCGTGTCGGACACGCATTTTTTCCAAAAAAAGACGTGTCCGTGTTTCACAGCGTATATATGAATTCACCATTGCTGTCATCATTCAGTTCATAATACTATAATAATGTACTAAATTTTAGTATTGAATTTTTTGAAGTTTTAATTTTAGAGTTGTTAACGTATATGGATTAACCATTGTAGTTATCATTCAGTTCACGGTACCATAGTTGTTTACATATGACTTGAGTCCTTCTAATATACTAAATATTAATTTCAGATTATATAAATATATATATTTAAAGCAAGCACTTTTCTTTTCTGCAATTTTCAAAGATTCGCTTAGTATTAAAACTCACCGTGACATGTAGACATGTAGCATATTTATAATGACTCAACATATTTAAACCCAAAATAATTATATCATATCCCTCCCATAACAAGTTTCCTTGCCTCCAAGTGATTTTTTTTCCCCACTAATGCTCCCCAAAATTTTCAAAATCCTGTATATTTGTACCTAAAACTCACTTGGAGTAAGTAGATACATATCTGCAAGTCCGCAACATATTGATAGTGGTTCTTACATCTGATTATCATTTGACAATGGGCTCTATCAGTTCTAGAGCAAAGTTATCCATGCAACGGTCTTCCCCTTCCAACACAAAATTATAGGCTTAGACAACAAAGGTATCATAATCCCTTTTGTAGGGAACAACACAATATAAGGAATATCTTCTAGTATAGAAATAAATACAAGTTTTATAACGCAAGACAAGAATCCATCATGATAGCTTATGATTCTTTCCCTTTTACAACACAATATTGTAGACTCGGACAACAAAGGTATGATAATTCCTTTTGTAGGTAACAAACACATTATAAGGAAAACCTTCTTGGATAGGAATAAACAAACTTTATAATGCAAGAATCCATCACGGTAGCTTATAAGATCTACTAGTTATGCTTAAAATTAATCGTGTCTTTAATTATCTCTCTAACAAGTCAACTCCTACTATTCAATAAAATGAGAAAATTCAGATTCTTTCTCAAGAGAGTTTACCTTAAAGCATACTTTTCAGAAATGAACTGCTCATAAAAAGGAAACTATGTTATTTTGCATACGAGGCTAGAACATAATATGATGTAACAAACGTTGTTTGTAAAATGGGCAAGTCCTAGCTACTTCTCACTCCGATTACTATTACAAAGGAAAACCTGCCATATCACGATAATAAAATAAGCAACCGCACATACCCACGAGTGACCTCCGATGCAAGTCATCAAAGACATCAACTACTCTCATGTCATCACTCCACAATCACAATATCGCCCACACTAATTCTTCAGCAGAAGAGAACAATTTATAATTACATTTCAGACTCCAATTAGTACCTCAAATGTATTCAATCATTAGTATCTAGTAAGAACAGCAGGGTGCAATTGCTTTCTGCAGCAAAATAAAATAACAAAGAGGTGGAAAAATAGTAAGAATAGAATTTCGATCAATATATTTCAATTCATGTTTATTTGTGGTTTTCTTTTTTCATTTTTGGCTAGAAGATATTTATTTGTAGTTACACATTACATGTATGGCACAACAACAAAACCCCAACACTTAAATGATGTACGCTGATGAAACTGTAATACCTGAATCCAATCCACGCAGGGTCCACAACAAACTCCCAAACACCTCTTGACAAAGTTCTCAAGACATCATGAACATAATCCCCGTGCTGGGGATGCCACAGTCAATAACTGAAGTTTTGAGTTTCATATATTGCCAGAGCAGATGAGTGAGTAAAATCTGCATAAAAGATGATAATCTTAAGGGCTTTAGCGCAATCGCACAGGAGATGATCTTAGAGGAACTCCACCACTGAAACACCTCTAATCTTAGATCCTCCGCCGATAGCCAGTTGGGCTTGTCAGATTTTGAGAGCTCATGCTTGCAGTTCTTAGAAGTCTACGAAATTCTGGTAGGCTGATTTTCCCATCTTTGTCAATATCAGCTTCCTCGAGCAGAGGATCAATGGAACCTCTCAAGCCAGTATGCTGAAAAGCCAAAAAGTAATATTAGTTGCAGTAAATATGTATGTTATTTTTTTATTTTTTATTTTTACAAATATCTACAGAGCTCAAATTGCGAAGCAGATGTTCCAGCTAGGCACTTACACCCCTCCCCTCTAAAAATTGGAAAACTTTTATAAAGGATGAAAGTATCAGTAAGAATACCACAAGAGGACTGCTACAAAATTTTGAAAGAATTTTTCATAAAGAATGTTTTGGAGCTTAACAAAAGACAAGAGATCTACCATTCTAAGTTCTTCCGGAGTAATATATCCATCCTTATCTAGGTCAAATTTCTCAAAAGCAGCCTGTGACCGTTGCTGCCACTTATCAGAGTCATGTTCCTCCAATTGGTGCACATGCAATGTAGCTGCCACGAACTCAGTGAAATCCACGAGTCCATCTGTATTGCTGTCTATCTGCAAGCACACAAAAAATATATATATTATTTTCACAAGCAAAAGGCAATGTGCAGATGTCAGAGTGTCCACTGCAGAGTAAGACAAAGCAGCCACAATGGAAAAGAGTGATTTGGGGAAGCAACATATATTGTTATAAGTGAAAGAAAAAACATTAAGGTTAAAATATATTTTTGGTCCTTGCACGTAATACTCAATTTCAATTTGGTCCTTATACAAAAAAAGTTTTCAATTTAGTTCCAGGTTATCAAATCATGAATTGCCAAGTTAATTTTTTAAATGTGAATGGTGAATTGTATCGAATCATAAGATTCAGAGACACAATGGAAAATAGCTTGAAATATATCATATAAATTATGTATATTACATTTCTAGGAATTAACAGAACAACTTAACCATAAGTATAACAAAACAAAATCATAAAATATAAGTCACGACTGAGTCACATAAAGTGACTGCGTGAAGCCTATGCTTTAGAAGTATGAAAACAAATAAATGATATAACCAAATCAGAGATGCATATAGAGTGAGAAAGTGACTATGGGAAGTCTCTGTTTCAGCAGAATGACAACAAAGCACTTGAATAGCCAAATAAGATGCATAGAGTGAGTGAGTGAATAACTATATGCTATGTAGCACCGATACTGACACGGGACACGTGACACGATATGACACGATACTCCGACACGTTAATTCTAAAAAATATTAGATTTCGACACGTTAGGACACATTTTGATATTAAATAATATTTTTAATTTATGTAGTGTATATTATATTTAATATTCAATAATTTAACAAAAAAATAAAACTAAACTTATAATATTCATCAATGTTGCAAATAAACATAAGATATCCCAAACATTTATATTAAACTCAATAAAATGGTAATCGTAATCCAACAAATCTAATAGTTGGAACTAAAAACTAACGCAACGCAACCTTTGAACCTTTTTTTTTTTGAATTTCTATAATGCGTGTTGGAGTGTCGGAGAGTGTCGAGAAGTGTCGGACACGACACGTCAGGGTTTTTGAAGTATCAGTGCTTCATAGACTATATGAAGGCCTTGTTCAGAAATAATAAAATCAAGGCAATGGAATAATCAATTAGGGTGCATTCAATAGCGCTCCTTTTGTTCCTTTTTATTTAACAAGTTAAGTATATCCAACCTTTTAATTTCTCTTCTGAGAATTGATGAAAGAAAAGCCAAAAGAAATTAATAATAATAATAATAAATCATTAAATCATGTGATTCGTTCGGTGATACAAAATTGCACCTATTCATGCATATATCGCACGATTCAAAGCCATCTCCGATTTATCACATGTAACAAATTGCTCGCTAGCCAAATTGTGAGATTCTAACAACTATGATTTAGTTCCTATACGTACAATTGTTTTCAATTTAGTCCCCATCATTTGTTGCTATTATATTACCGTCTATTGTACTTATAATTAAGTAAAGTATAGGGACCAAATTGAAAATGAGTGTCGTATATAAGGACCAGAAGTATTATATTTTAGATTCCCATATATGATAATTATTTCCAATTTGGATATACTTTGCATGCCATTGAAAATGATTGCACATATAGGGATTAAATTGAACATTTGTTTTTATAAGGATCAAATTGTAAATGAGTGTCATGCATGGAGACAAAAAATATGTTTTAACCTAACATTAATCACCAAAGAAACTCCATGTCTTTCAAATTTTAGAAGTAGAATAAAGATCAAGCGTACTCACCGCTTGCAATATCTCTAGTACACGTGATTCTTTCAACTTCCAAGGAAGATCTTTAGCAAGAGCCTGCACAAAATCTTCCCTTCAGACAAAAGTGGGGAAACTACATTTAAGGGAATAATTTACTCACTAATAGACAAGTGATGTATCTAGATTTATGTTAGTCTCAGAGCTAGTAAATTAACATGCTACCTGTCTCATCTCTTCCAGGCTGATAGAACCATTTTTGTCCACATCAATTGCATCAAATTGATCTTTCAAAATACCCAACTCTTCTTCATTAAGTGTTCCAGCCAATGCCTGCAGGATAAGTACCAAAAAAGCTGGGCATCAAATAAGTGCCATGCCTTCTGACATGCAAAGGCTAGAACTAATTTGTCTTACCCTCAGAGCGAATTGTTTCAATCGACTATACTTCACAAACTGCCGCATGTTGCTCAGGACAGATATATCAATAGGAATCTCCAGTGCTTCTCCTCCTTCTCTAACCCATGGATGTGCTGGAAATATCAGAATTAATCAATACATTTCAATATTAGGGAAAAAATTTCTTACAAAAATGTTTTGTGAAGTAAAGGAAAAAAAGTACAGTTTGACTAAGGGTGTGTTTAAACTAAGCAAAGTCTATGAAATGATTATGCTACTTGAACAACACTAAACATATGCTACAGAATTATTGCATTGCATGTAGATTATTCAAGAAGGTTACGTACATCTAGTGGCACAAAGCCACAAAAATAGTTGAGATTTTGTATATCTAAAGTGTTGTTTACATAACATTTTCACTGTACAGAAACACCATTCATCATGTTCACAGAATCTGAACAGCAACCGAAAATCTATGAACAACTGCTAAATTGATTCATCAAAGCAAGCATGGGTGAACACTTAAGACAGAAAGCGGTGAGAGGTTCTAACAATAAATACAATCTTTAAAATGAGACAAATTATGAATTCTATAAATTCAATGCTTAAATTTTTAAGTGTTATACATCACACCAAAATTTCATGCAGTAACAAAAACCCAAAAGTGTTGTTATATATCAGACAGATATCACTTAAAAGGGTCAAATAACATAATGTAAGAAAAAAACTAGAGACATACATAGAGCTTGAGCAGCAGTTAATCTTGCCCGAGGATCCTTTACCAACAACTTCTTCACAAAATCTTTTGCAGCATTACTTATAGTTGGCCACGGTTTCCGGCGGAAATCAGGCTTGTTACGTAAGACCTGCATATATCAGAGCACAAATTGACATAACAACAAACAACATTAAAAAAAATTCTTCTGTAAAAACTCAAAATCAAGAGGACAACGAAAGTAAGGGTCAGAGACTTATTATGTCATTAAGAAACAAGAACAGATAACGAATCCCACATAAATTGGGAGATCAGAAGAGAACATAATAATAGTGTACCATACCTCCCTGAAGATACCATCCTCAGTCTTATCCCAAAATGGGCGTCTCCCACATAGCAATATGTATGTAATAACACCAATACTCCACACATCTGACTGAGGGCCTGACTTGCGTTTTAGCACTTCGGGTGCAACATAGTAAGCACTGCCAACAATATCATGAAACTTCTTTCCTGCAGTTTTTTTTTTTTTTTTTTACCAAAGATAGAGAGCTAGAATTGTCAAATAAAGATTGCAAGAACATGTCTGATACAAAAGAGGGAAAAAAGAAAAAAATCAATCATGAAAATAAAGATTTTTCCTCACCAGGTTTTATGAAATCTGACAAGCCAAAATCTGTAGCCTTCAAATGTGAATCTACTTTGGTTGATTTGAAAAGAAAATTCTGCATCGAAAGAATTTTTTTTTTACTATATAGCATTTAATAGCATAGATCCCATTTCACTCAAATTTGCCAGATAAACAATGGGGCTTGACTATACCTCTGGTTTCATGTCCCGGTGTACCAAGCCATTTAAATGACACTCAGCTGCAACCTTCAACATCTGCCTTACAACCACCGCCGCATCTTTTTCACTATAACGGCTGTCCTTCCTGATTAAGGCAAAGGAAGATGAAGTAAGTTCATGTACAAGAAAAAAGCACCATGCCAAACCCATAAACACAAACCCTAAAAAAAAATAAAAAAAATAAAAAAATGGAGTCATTCTTGACCCTGGTTCTGCAATTTCAACATAGAAATTCTGAAGAGATACCTAACCAAGCAAAATAGCAATCACATCCCAAAAAAAAAAGATACTTACTTAGACAATATCCGATCTAGCAGTTCTCCACCCTCGCATAATCTAAAAAGGTAAAATACAATTATATAAAAAATAAGCACATTGAAAGTAAACAAAACACAATGATTTGATAATTGAGCTACCAAAAGATATATCCAGAGCACATTTCAGTACTGTAGTGCTCAAAATCAGATGAGAATAGAAAAACAGCACAAACAAGAAACCAACATGAAAGCAACTTACTCCATAACTATGTACACATAAGAATCATCATCAAAAGCATTATAGAACTGAACCACATTCTCGTGGCCCGCAAGTGCTTTCAATATCTTAACCTCTCTCTTAACATCCTCAACAGCTACAGGGAGAACCATCTGCCACACCAAATCATAACCCATTATTGACCAAGTCAAAAACCCTCACACACACACAAAAAAAAAACTAAGAAACAAGAAAAAAAAATGAAATTTTTTTCCTTTTCGTTTATAAATCCGAAATTCAAACGAATCAGATTACCTTATTCTTCTCGAGCCTCTTAACGGCCACACGATCCCCATCGGCTTTGTCTATTCCGACATAAGTGTAACCGAATTGGCCGTGTCCTAACAACTTCCCGAGCGAGTAACGCTTATCGAAGTCCTTCTCGTAACCGAAATCGACGCGCTTCCCGTACGGCGCGTGCCTGGTACTCGCGCTGTGCGACGGCGCTCTCTGTCGTTGTTGGTGGTTGGACGGCTCCGGTTGCGGCTTCGTAGTCACTTTAGTGGCGGCCTTGGTGTTGTTGGAGCCACTGATTTTGGTGGCAGAAAAGCAAGTGCCCATGATTGAGAATGGTTAAAGGAAATGTTGAGAGATGAAGAGCATGTGCATGAGGATGAGGATAATATATAATAGTAGTAGTAGTTGTCATTCATTTGTGAAGAGAGACAGGAAGGAAGAGAAGAAGGAAGATAGAAGGAAAGAGAGAGTGAAGTGGTGGTCAAAAGAGACTTTTGAATGAGAAACAAATAAGAGTTGGCTCAAACTCAAACTCAAACTCAAACTACTCCACTTGATGTCAATTAAATAAAGAGCGAGAGGAGATCAACTCAAAGTTTAAACATTTTTTCCATATATTAATAACAAGTTTTACTAAGTTTGCATTTAACAGTTCAAAAATAACTAATAAATTAAAATTATTAGATACAAATAACTTCCATTATTAATGTTGAATATAGATACGATAGCTTTCCAACTTTAAAATTTGACATCAAATTCTAACCGTCAATCAAATTCCAACCGTCAATCAACGATTATTATTTATTGAGAATCAAACTTATTAATTAACTATTAATTTTTAATAAATAATAATCGTTAATTAATGGAAATTAATAATTAAGATTTAGTGTCAAATTTTAAAGTTAGACATCAGTATCAAAATATCTTACCTCTATTAAATATAAGCCATCGGAGTTGCGTTTAAAAATTCAAATGACTAATAAATTAAGATTATTAGATGTAAGATTTATACGGCTATAAGTTGATCATTTCCAAATAATAATCACTATAATAAATTTTACATTAAAATGGCATTTTGGTTCATATAGCTTTTACTTATTTAGGATTTAATTTTTCTATTTGTTTTTTTTTGTATGCTAATTTTTCTATTTTTTAATATTAATTTTTTTTTAATATAGGTTTCATATTTTTTTTACTTATTTATGTAAATTTTAATTTTTTTTGTATTAAAGTATTAAATTTTTTTATGGAATTTATTCGTATAGTTTTTTAGGCAATGAATATTAAAAGAATTAAAAAATAAAGTGGTTCAAAGTTAAGCCAATTCAATTAAAAAAACTAAATAAATAAAAATCGAATAATCAAACCTTTGTTTAACTACCATATACAATTTAATTAAAAAAATTAAACCTTTTAAAAATTGTAATTCGACAGTGATTGGACAGTCTTGAGTAAATTTTAGTCCATCTACGTTAAAATTAAAATATTTACAATCCTTTTTTTGATATGTTATGCGAAGTACAATTATATATTAAGAAAAATGTTTGTATTTTTAAATGACATAATTTATGTCATTTCACTCTCATAAAGAGGTGAGACCATATCTTTATATTTTTTTGTCCACTTTCTCTCCTTTTTTATCTATCTTATTTTCTCACTTAAAATGACACAACTTTACATCTTTTAGAATGATACACATTTTTTCCATATATGTTTTAGCTAAAAGAATACTAAGGTTCTCTTCTTTTATTTTTACAGAACCCACAAAAAAATAAAAAAATAAAAAGGCAAGGCATCCTTCGCAAACAAGTGAGCATTGAAACTATCGATGATTCGTAACAACATTATGAGTTAAGTTTGGCGGTAATCTATGAAGTATATAAAATAAAAAAATAGAATCCCAAATAAAAAGAAAGATTTGTAACGAAATAGTGTGAATGATTTCTTTTAATAGCGCTATCAGTTTGAGTCAATTGTAATTTAAGCTTCATATTTTGAGCGAAAAACCAATTAAAATATATTACATGCATTTTAAATACAAGTAAATCATTGTTTCACATGGGTGATCATCATTCGAGCAACCTCCTATTCACAAACTGGACAAAAGAAGAATCATTTTCTATATAAAGTCTGGAAATTTTCCTGCCGAAGTACTAGTCAACCTTATTAACATCGCCCAAATCTTCAAAGAAGAACATTTCCCACACTCAAATTACAAGCAAAGCCACAAAAATCCAATTTCCTGAGTGATCACGCTTCAAGCCACCGCAAGACGCCTTCACTTCCCTCTCCCCTATGTTTAATTCAAAACAATTATAAGAACATAATGTCCAAACCAACTATACAATGTTGATGCTGGTGGCTATCATGCATGAGCCCGAATCCAAAAGCTAGAATGTCTACTGTATATATTGGTGGATCATTGGGAGAAGTTGGAGTGTGCAAAAAAACTGATTCAGTTATCCTGTTTTTGATTTGACCTTGACTTGATTCATAAATACTTAATTTTTTTAACTGAATCTAATTACTTGATCTACTTTTATTTGGGTCAGTTTTAAACCTGACTTATTTTAATAATTGACTTATTGACTCAAAACTTAACCCATACCCATTATGTGCCAAAAAAAAAATGAAAAATCAGCCACTTTTATTCTGCATTGACATTATATGATATAAATTATTTGCTTCTACATAGGCTGTATCACCTTCTTAACTAGTATATATATTACTTAGTATGAACTTTTTAATTTTTTGTAATCACTTATTGTCAGATTAGTTAGACACTCTGTTTTTTTAGAGATTAACCTTTCTCTCGTGTTCTATCTATTTTTCTGTCAATAAAGAAATAGGTACTTATGCTAGGCATAAGCTAAATTGCATCTCATTTTGATACTTGTGCGTGCTAGATATAAGCTGAAAGTTTAGTACGTGAACCAAAATCTTTGGGTACGACATGAAATATTCTCTTTATTTTAATTTATCATCAATTTGGAGCTTTTTAGTGATCCAATAAAATCATGATAATTGCTAATTGCAAATATCAATTATGAGTTAGAATGAGCTACCCTAGTACCATGGAATAGTAATATTAGCACTTTTTTTGAAGAATTGGTATTTATTTAACAAATATCAAATTTATTATATAATTTATATATTTTAAAATAAATAAATAATTAAATTACATGAGTTTAAAAATTAAATCAACAACTATAAAAAAATTAAATAAAAAACAAGTTTTGAAACCAAGTCAAAAGCGGGTCAGGTCGAATTTGACCTGATTTTGAAACCAAGTCAGACCCACTTCAGAAACCAAGTCAGGTCAGATCTAACTCAGTTCTAAACCAGTTCAAAAAAAAATAAATTAAATCAGGTCAAACCTAACTTGGATCAAATTAAACTGGGTCGGATCAAAATACCTGACCTATAAAATCAAGTTGGGTCGGGTCAGCACAAAAACTCGACCCGACCTAACCCATGCATAGCCCTGGGCAGAAGACCATGAGTGTCATTAGTAACTTGTTGGCTATCATATGGTAGGAATTGTTACAGGATGCGTGAGTGGCGAAGTCAGCCTATTCATTGAGCCCTAACTTAATTTTGAAAATTAGCCACGATCGTGACTAAATTGGCAAACATATAAAAAGTGGTATTTTATTTAATTGTTCGAATAATATAAAATAAAAGCAATTTTTAGTTATTCACCGAATCTCTAAAATTTTGTTATTCAATAGAAAACAATTTTGTTATTCTTCTTTATCATAGCTTTATTGCGTGCAAAACAATACACAACACAAAAGCATTATCACAAATTTTGCTTTATTCTATTCATAGCTATCATAAATTTTTAGCCATGTGCATTCGTCATGATAAAAAAAACATTTGACACATTTTTTGGTGACTCAACCACTTGTATACTCATGTTAAGATCTTATACATCCTAGGTCTTCCTGTTTCTTCATTTCACTTATGTTCTTCATATAGCGTTCAAATCGAAAGAATCTACGCAATGAAATAAGTTGCTACTTTCATATAGTATGGCTAATGTGTGAGACATCTCTACTTTTTCTAGAGGGAATTCTTAAAACTATTATTGCTTAACTTTCAATTTGTCTCTTACGATCAAATGAAATAGGAATAACTCATCCTTCCTTTTTTTTTAAAATAAGGGGCACTTCTAGTTCTGTTAGTGCTTGAAATAATTTTATCTTCTCCATATTATTATCCTATATCTCTAGAGTAAATAATTTTATATGAGAAACTACTAAACTCAATCACTTGATGTTGTTACTCTTATGTATTCCATTGAGGTCTATTCTGTAGAGGTACTCAAATTGAATCAATGATCAATTTCTAAATCTTGTTGTAAACCTAATTGGTTACTTCCAATTAAATAAATCGATAGTTTGTGTTTATATTATAGCCCTAGCATGCATCAAACACAATCCTAGTCACATTATTTATAACACGTCCTTCATACTAGATGGCTTGAAATATGTTACTCTCAAATGACATTATATTTAACATTTATAAGGAGTTTTGTTTGTGAATTAAGCTCATTCCATTTTCTTCATGAAGGCCTAATTTGTGTGGTGTAACATCCTCAAACCCATTCCTTCTTGTTGCTTTGACAAACACATAACATATCAAGCAATGGTGTGACATATCTTGGCCAATGATATTTCCCAAAGAAAATCTGTAAGAACCCGCACTGTTAATTAAGGAAGTTAATTAATTAATTATGTGAAATTAGAAAATAATTCCATAATTGACCCTAATAATTATTATGAGGCTTAAATAAATATAGAAAGTGGTTAATAATGCTGAAAGTCGCTTTTCAGATGAAAAATGCAGATACCAGTTCTGCTACTCGGTATAAATGCGTATCGAAAAAGTATCCCGGAAAATTATAATAAGTGCATGATAATTCCTAGAATATTATATAGGACTAGTAAAAACAAGTTTCAAGTTAAAATAATGAGAACTGGTGCCAGAAACTGATACTGGCTATGAAAAACGCGTACCGAAAAAGTGCTGCGAAAAATAATATAAAAATATAATAAATCTTAGAAAAATGAGCAAGATCAGATTCCAAAGTTTGGGATTAAAATGCTAAGCGCAGCTATTAATGCTAATATTGCGCAATTAAAACTTAAGTGTCCTATATAAGGCCATGGCACATGATCCTAGGTCATTTTATTGACTTGCTACGTGAGATTTTTCTGAGTTGTAACCAGCCACCTTGCCAACACCTCTCCTCCACCTCTTGTGAGCCAAGTTGTCACCTTTCTTCATGAAATCTTCTCCTAAACACTTGGTGTAAGTGAGAATCATCTTTGGGAGTGGGTTGTGACCTTGTAGCTGAGTGGAGTTTCTGTTTTACGGGGGTTCATAGGGTTGTGTTCTGAGTTTTCCTTTGTTGGAGCTTTGCCTTGGTTGTGGGAGCTTCAAGTGATGATCTTTGTGAAGAAATGACCTACCTTGAAGTG